TTTTTTTTTTTTTTTTTTTTTTTTCTTTTTTAAAGTGAGCTACATTGTTCTGGCTTTCTTAAAACTCAGAATCTTACCCAAAGAAGCCTGTCCTGGAGCTCTCAGCAAACAAAGGCTCATCCTTCTCCGAACCAAACTTTTAAGGTTATTCCAACCAGAAGTTCGACTCACCCGCCACCCTCTCTCCCAACATCCTCCAAGCATCAAATCTGAGTTACTCTCTATCAACAACAAAAAAATAACGAAAAAAAGCAAAAAAAAAAAAAAAAAAAAAAAAAAAAGATGAAGTCCCATAAGCTCTTCAGAATTCACTCGTCAGCATCCGGCTTGACGTCCAGCATCGCGTGCAGCTCCTCCGGCGTGTAGCCCAGCAGGCTCTGCAGGTCGCAGACGAAGCGGTAGACGTAGCGCTTGCCGGCCGTCTTGTGGATGATGTTCTTGTCATAATAGTAACGCAGACCACGGCTCAGCTTCTCATAGTTCATCTTGGGCTTGTTTTTCCTCTTGCCCCACCGCCTGGCCACCTAGGAGAGGGGTAAGGAGAATCAGAGGGGATGGATGACATGGGGATGAGAGAAGGCTTTCTGGCTTGAATGGGCGGCCCTTGGACACATGAAAGCCATTAAAGCTTGGGAAAACCGAAGTGTTCAACAGCAGAGCACAGAGAAGGACTCCATGAGGACACAGAAGTCAGGTAAGGTAACGGATACCCCATACATGGGGAATGGGACAAGGTTTAATGATCGTGGCGATGAAAGCTCAACAGTTGGACTACAAGGTCTCAGTGATCTATCCCAATTTTTTATGATACTATGGTTCTGTGATGATCAACGGGAAGCCTCAACTCTCAGCTGCACACATCTGTCACTGTGCCTTTCTCTATAGTGTTTCAGCTTCTCACTAACTCTGAGCATGGGTTATTGCTTCCTACACAACTTCAGCCCAATTTTTAACAGGACTTTAGCTGGGCTTCAATTCACTGCATTCCCCTACAGAAGACCAGAACAACAGGCCTGTCCTAATCTCAACCACGAAAGCCCTCAAGCTGTACCAAGGGATTTTCAGGTTGTATATTAGGAACAATTTATTCTCCAAAAGAGCAGTGCTGCACTGGCACAGCTGCCCAGGGTGTGGGGGGGTACATCAGAACCATGGGGATGTGGCATGTGGGGAGATGGTCAGTGGGCACAGTGGGGTGGGCTGGGTTGGACTGGGATCAGAGAGGTCTTTCCCAACCATAGTGATTCTGTGATTCTACAAAGGACAAAGATGCGAGTTATCTTAAATATTTCAGCAGCATTTGGGCTGTGGTACTTTACCTCATCTGGATCAGAAAGTTTGAACTCCCAGCCATCGCCCGTCCAGCTGATGAAGGACTGACAGGATTTGTCAGTGAGCAGCTCCAGCAGGAATTGCCACAGTTGGATGGGTCCACTGCCTGGAAAGACAAAGGAAACACAAAACATCAGTGCCAGCAAATCACACCCCCTTCCATCCCAGTCCAGGGTGGGGGGTTCACATGCAAATGATGCTCACCGCAAAAAAATAAAACCTTCTGCCAATAAAAAAAGAAAAGCATCAATGGCTGCAGGGTAAGACCTCAGACAATCTGGCAGTTAAATCCTGCAGGTAAAAGAGCTTCCAATTTGCAGTCAGAGCTGAATACTTGCACACTGGAATGCTTCACTCCGAGTTACATAAATAGGATTATTTTTCTGGCACCCAAACAGCCAGCAGTGCTGCCTTGGCACGAGAGCACCACCATCCCCTGTGTGCCAAAAAGCTCCTGGCCATTGCGTGAACTCCGGCAGACTTCTGCTTCCCAACCTTGACTCTTTGCTCTGTGCCTGTTTATGGAGATAAAGGGGACCCAGGTATGAAAATTATTTGGCCTCTCTCCAGGGCGTGTTGCTGCAGCTCACAGAGATGGGCAGGAGCTGCAGGGTTTGGCAGAGCTCTGCTTCCACCAGAGCAGCCGGAGAGGCAAGAGCATCCCTCGCTGTGGATGTTCAGCCTCTCTTTTTATCTCCACGTCTCCCATTTTGGTTTGGGTGCTAATTTTGGCCAACAGCAATTTGTCTCGCGGCACTGAGCTCAACACACCTAACGAGCAGCAGCTGGTACACTGCAGGGAGACTGCGGCTTCGCAGCCTGGTTTTGGCTGGATTCATGGTGTGTGTGGAATGATGTAAGAATTACCTCTTCTTTGCAGTTGTGTCCCAAGCAAAGGTAGAGGAGAAGCCCTCAAGCCAAAACTCTTTGATGAGCAACTTTAAATGTGGCCACACCCAAAACACTGCGCTCAGCTCTGGGAGAGATTTTGACATGTTGTAAATGGAGCTTAGAAAATCTCAGCAATAATAATGACAATAACAGTAATAAACAGAGCCAGAGGTTAGAGGAAATGATTTATCACCCCTGAAAAACTGTGCAGTCTGGATGAGGATGGCAGGCAGGACGGGGCAAACCCGGCGCTGACAGCAGTGAGCAAAAGCTTCAAGCAGGGAAAAAAATTATTTCCTCAGAATAAAGAGATGGAGTGCAGCCTGTTTCCATGAATGACAATGGAGGCTGTCAGAGCTGTGGCTGTGGGATAATGCAGGGAGGGAGGAGAGGGGTGTTCCCCCTAATCCACAGCATTTCAAATGACTCAAAGCAGACGGGCTGCTGGCAAGCAGGAAATGACAGAGCTGGCTCTGGGACAGGAGCATCAGGGCTGGGGAATCACTGCGCCCCATCCAGCCCTCCCCAGAGGGGAATCAGAGAGAAATCCCAAGGAATTGCTCCAGGTTTTGTGGGATCTCCTCCCAAACCATGCAGCACAAAGGAGCATCTCATCCCTGCTGTCTCTATCCGGCCCAGGACAAAGCAGACGGCTCACTGCATTGCCCCAGACATAAATGAGAAGAAGACGTTTGGTAGAGATGCTGCAGCCTCATGTGCTCAGCAGGAGCTTGCCAAGACACCGAGCCTCTGAGAGGGATGGGGCCAGAGCCGCACTGCATTACCTGCAGCGAAGTGAGGGAGGAAATTCAGATCATGCCTTCACCTCTCATCTGAAACAGAAAAGCCAAAGCCTGGTCCAAATCAGCCCCACATCTTGAGATCATGGCCCACACCAGGCTTTGTGCACAGGGGAATCACTGTGCAAGTGGGTGCTCCAGGCTGCACAGGTCAGGACAAGTGAGTACAGGAAGGGACCAATTCTCTAGTCCCATCCAACTTTATACCAATGCTTTACACACATAGGAGAGCAACTGGTGCCCAAAGCAGACCAACAGTGCTGGGACACAAGATTGCAGCACAGATTTACCATGCTGCCTAGACAAAGAAGAACTTTTTACTCCTTCCCCAAAATAAAACACATGGAAAGCTATTGTTTGGATACTAGGTTCAAGGTGACTGCCTTCTAACTACCTGTGTGTGATATTCAAGGCATTGGGGACATGATGCAAGAAGTGTCACCATTCCTGAGCCAGGGGCCAGCACAGCTCACGTTCCATGCTTGCCACTCAGCTGCCAGCTGGCACAGGGTGGTGCTGGAAAACCCAGCAGTTTATCACCCACTTGCTGCAAACGAGGTAGGCTCCTTCCTGCAGCACTAGGAGCTGCTCAAATGGTTATTTTGGGATTTTGAAGAAAGCGGTGTCATCCGGCAACTTGTGCCTTGCAAGAGGGATTCCCAAGGTCTATTCCTAGCTGCCCGCAGGACTCGCGTAAAACCCCAAATTCCTCTGTTGTTGGACAAGCAATTATGTCAAGAATGTGTTTACCACACAGCTCGCAGGCATGTCTCAGCTCCTATAAACACACCCTGCCGGAGGGGAAGGAGCAGAGGCCCTGCAGATGGGGCACGATGGTGAAGCAAGGCAGGCACTGCACATGGCAGGAATCAAAGCCAGCACGTGTGCAAGCCAGTAGGGCCCAAACAACATGGGGAGACCACAGGAATAAGGGGAAGAGAGAACACCAGGGCACAGGTGCTGGGGAGGACTGTGTATGGTCTACTTGGAAGAAACAGCTGTAATCAGAGCTGAAATTAATTCCTTTTGCACACTTTTCATGCAAAGCAAGGAGCTAAAAGGTTTCTCTGTGACATTCAACTTGTACAGAGATGTCCACCCACCTGCAGCACATTCCCAGCACTACTGGGATGTGACGCTGCTGGGCTTGTCTCTGCGCCCTGCCCCTCGTTGCCTTCCTCTCATCCCCATCCACTGCAGGAAATACCCACTGAGACATCTGGTCCAGATCACTTTGGACCACTGGAGTGCCCCTGCAGCCCCAAGCATGAGGTGCAAGGACGCAAGCCCCCCTTTATGGTGCTGGTCCCACTGCATGCTCCCAGGGATTTCCCACACCAAAGCACCCAGCCTCATTGTCCCCACAGGAGCTGTGCAGAATAGAACCCGCCAGAGGGGCTGGCTGCCCATTGGGCCACAATGGGGACCCTGTCTTGCCTCGGTACTACTGAAGAGGGTCCTTCAGCTGGGCTGCTGGGGCCTGTCACTGCACAGGAATTCTCCAACGTCAGGGGGAAAATATGCTTCTTGTGCCAGATGACAGCAGGCCTCTATTCTGGCTGAGTGGTGTCACACCAGGGCACTGGGTTTGGTGTTACACCATCCTTACACCGTCCTGCCCGGGATAAGGCTGGAGATCCCCATTCCTGCTCCATGTGCTTTGGGTAGGACTGGAGATCCCCTGCTAACTTCCCACCCTGTGGTTCCAGAGATGGTTTTATACCAAAATGCCCAGTCTCCAACATTCATTCAGGTTTTCTGCTTCAGCACACCCCAGTGGGCACTGCCACCAGTGTGGTGATGCCAGCAGTACCCCACTGCCTGTGCAGGCACAGTTCCCAGCCCTCAGTGCGTCACTCCCACTGTCTCTCAAGCTTGTTTCACACCCTCACCCCTCTCAACGGTCTCTGTTTGAAAGAAGAAAAATAAAACAAACAAAAAAAAGCTTCAAAAAAAAAAAAAGAAAAGAAAAGAAAAAAAAAAAAGGCACCTATGCTGTTCACTCTGTGGTTTGTGGTTCACACCAAACAAAACAATTGGACATAGCAACATCTCCAAAACAGCCCTCGTTTTGGTGACGTGCCCACCCTACACAAACCCCATCAGTGGCATTGCAGGCACTGGAGTCCAAGAATCCAACTGCTGTGTTGGGATTGTGGAACCATCACTGCGTGCCTTGCCTCCCCACATCCCTTACCCAGCCTGGTGCAGCCACACCATCACCAAGGGCTTGATTTGTGCAGGCAGCAGGACACTGAAGTACAGATGGAAACATCTCCAAAAAGTGATCAGAGTGGGGAAAGACCCAGAAAGCTACTTCTTGCCACGTGCTTTTTGTGCTGCTTGCAGAGCAGCCCCTCTGCTGCTGCTCTGCCATCCCCTCCAGGCTGCTGGGCAGAGCAGAGCTGCTGTCACGCTCGGGCAGCGTAGCGTGGGGCTGATTTCACTGTCATTTGCACACGTCTGGCAGGTGGGGCAGGAGCACTGAAGCAGCCCCACAACCCACCCTGCAGCTCCCCACCCTGCAACATGATGCTGCAGCAGGAGACGTTGCTGGTGACACTGAGTCACCCCACAAGGGTTGGCAAAGCACGGGACTCAAACTTAGTGAATGAGCACCATCTCCTGCATCTCATGCTACATCTCCAAACTCCCCTAAACCAAGATACCAGCAGCTACAAATGCTCACACAGGCAGGATGCAGGGAGGAAAGATGCTGATGTTTCTAGAAAAGCAACTGCACAGGATCTGGATGCCAAGGACAGACACCCACATGTCAGGAGCATGGCAGGGTCATGCTGGTGTGTTTTGCATGCCCAAATCTGGGAGATCACAGGCTGGAAGCTGAAGGCCAGCAGCATAGTAAGAGGAGGGGAAGAAGCAGCACACAAACTCTCTTGAAAGACACCCACTTTCTTTGGCATCGACTTTCTTGCAAAACAGCAGCTGCGTGCTTTCACTTCTGTCTCACTGATAAGCATCGCACAGAAACGGAGGCTGTCGAAGGCACGGCTTCATCTGCACCACAGATGGTCTGGATGGGGTGGATGGGTTCACGGGGCACATTTGAGCCACTATCAATACAGTGCCATGAATGCTGATAGCAACCCTCAGAGCTGGATCCAGGGCACAACCGTTAGCTGTACAGAAGCAGTTCTGGGTGCTCAGGAGATAGCATCTCATCCCTGCACTGCTTCTGTCTTCTCTAAGGGCAGAGCGATAATGAAGATAGCATCAATCTGTCGCTAAGAGAGACAGTCAGAGACAGTCAGGGTGTGTGTGATACTAGCTGGGGCAAGGACATTAACTCCTTCAGTGCTGAGATTGCCTGTGAAGACTTCAGAAACTTCCTAACTTGCCCCATAAGAATGGACAACTTACAAAGGCAATCCTGGCCTTGCAGTCAAGGCATCAAGGTGTGCTTCACAGTCATCTCAACCTGCTCATCCCTTTCTCCTCTCTCCCCCCACCAGGCCCAAGGGGAATCGCTGTGCTCTGCTGCTTCAGCTCTCAGGATCAGAGGCTCAGTGCATCACAGCTCAGTGCTGCAGGCAACGCTGTGAGACGGAAAGCCCCGGCTCACTCAGATGGTGCTGAGGTCCTTTGTGCCACAAAGCAAACACCACAGCTTGGCTATGAACTCATGCAGGTGCTTTGGGGTGCTCAAGAAAAGCCAAAAGCAATTCAGCCTGGAGCAGCACAGGGTCTGAATCTTTGCTGGACCTGCACCAGCAGGAGGTCAGCAGGCTGGAAGCTGAAGGCCAGAAGTAGGTCAGAGCAGTGGAAAATAAATATAGAGCAAAAAGGCAGAAGATCAGTGCGGTCAGGCCCACAGCATGGGCAGCACGCTGCTCTGCTACAGCCCAGTGGTACTCATTCACACAGTGTTTGCTCTCAGGAAGGATGCAGGTTGCTGTGGTACCCACAGAGGCTGGCAGCTCGTGGGATCCAGCAAGGCAGCCCTGCGGATGGCACAGAGCTCCATTTGGCACAGCTGAGCTCAGGATGAGGGCTCAGAATGCAGCCAGAATGAGGCACTCACCCACACCAAACGCTGTGCTGAGGAGCTCAGTGCTCACTCAGATAACTCAATGTGAGATCTCACATCTGCCTGCAGAGCAGACACATCCTGACACTTGTCCAACTTTAAGGTTTGCATTCTGTCTTCATTTCCTAGGTCATTTCAAAAAGGAATAAAACCTGGCTTATAGTAAGGCTCCACTTGGCCAAACTCCAGAGAGCTTGCCCCCAAAAAGATGTCCATGGACATCCTTCCCTGCAGCTATGGAAACTGTAGTTTACTAACTCCGGAGCAGTTACATTTCTCCTTCAAAAAAAGATAAGAAAATTGCATCAATTTCTATCTGAGCAACCATGGCAACTTGTTAAATTAGGTCAAGATGTGGGGGCAGATAAAGCAGCTCTGAAAAGCTGCTTGCGAGCTGTGTGAGGAACACATCAAACACAAATGGCGCTTCCGTCAAAATGCACCTCCTCAGCGCAGCACGCGCCTCCCGGGGCAGATATCATCAGAGATTGCCACAGCTGTGGTAAGGCTGTGCCACCTCCCAGGGCCACCAGCAAAACAGGCCCATGCTGACAGAGCCAAGTAATATGGGCAGGTTCCTAACACAAACCCAGAGAGCCCCCGAGGTGATGGATGTGGTATTCCACGCCAAGGCACCGTGGCACATCTGCTGGGCGCTGCACTGGATGGTGATGGGGTGCCAGTGTTGGGTGCATGTTCCAGGAATGCTCTGGGTGAGAGATGGAAAGCTGTGGGGCCATGGGCTGGCAGTCCCCCTGCTCTGCTCTTCTGGAGGCTCCACCTCCTCAGCAGAGCTGTAGAGAGCTCAGGCTTCGAGTTCCTCAGCTCTAACCACCAGATAGCACTTCCTCCCCTGAGTAAAGTAAAAGTAAAGCAAAGCAAAAACAAGAAGCCAGGACTTCTGTCTGAGAGTCCCCACCGTCCCTTCTCAGCTGGCCAATGAGAGGTCCTCACTTCTCCATGGCCAGCCTTACTTTTTTTATTTCTTCCCAGAAATAAACTACTGCAGAACAGTTTCAAGAGGGCCAAGTTCTCCTACAATTCGTCATACAACATGTTCTCACTCGCTCTCACTGTGACCTGCTTTCAGAGCAACCTGGCTTCGCCTTGCACCCATGCTAGGCTCCCTCTATACAGGAAATATGAGGTGCTGACAGGTCAGTAGACATTAAAAAGGGATGGAGGACATTCCTAGAGTCACACATTTGTAAAGCTTGTCAGTCCAAAGATCCTTCCCCATGGTAAATGCAGGCAGGGGCAGTTTCAGCTCTGAATAACTACTCAGCAGCCTCTGGAGAAAGCGGCGCTCTGACCGAAGGATTTCCAAGTGATTGGTGTTCCTGGAAACCTCTAATTTTCCTCTGTTTAAAGTTTTTCAAGTAAAGCAATGAAAAAACTTATTGATCATGTCAGAGTGCGTGGGCCAGGGGATTATCTTCCCAGCTCAAAGCAGGCTTTGAAACGAGGCAAGGGAAAAAGTTATGCAGAGAAAAGCATTTGGAAGTGTGCTCTGGCACTGCATAAACCAAAGCCTCACTTTCCCTGTGGCAAGAGTCCAAGGACACACTTTGGGGTGCTAAGCTCCTTGGCCAAGCACCGGGTCCAGCCCCAGCTTTGGTTCCTCACTGCAGAGGGAGCTGGGAGTGCAGCCTCTCTGCTTCCATGAGCAATAGCAAACGTGGAGGGAAACTTCCCACCCCAGCAGCCGAGCTCCTTCCCAGGTGATGGGTGCCCTGCACGCTTCCACAGCCCCAGTGAAAGGTGTTATCAGAGGAAAAGAGGAAAAAGAAGTGCAAGTAGCACTCCTGGGCTCTTTTCTTAGGAACTCCAACTCCTGTGGCTGGGGCAGAGCCCCTCCTACCACTCACGCCTCTCCCCACAACAGCCCCCAGCAAAAGCCATTCAGGAATGGCAGAGCACACTTTTATTTTGCATAGACCTGCTCAAAACAGGCTCACTCAGCAAGGCCGAGTTGAGCTTTCTTTCTAACTAAAGCTGTAGCAACAAACCACTTCCTTTTTTACACATCCTAAAATTATCTCTCCACCTCTCCTCCCCTCTGCATTTACACCCAACAAAAACTCAGTCTCAGCCTGAAGATGAGCTGTGTGTGGGAGGAGATTTCAGGGACAGTCACATGTCAGGATCTGCTCTGAACCTTTTGATGATTTTTATCTGCACAACTATTTCCACTGCTTGGCTCCTCTGGGCCACAGCTGCTACCAGCTGAGAAGGAGGGATCAGTGTGAACCAGGGAAGGAGCAGGCAGAAGGCTGCCCTGCAAACATTACCTGTCTTACAGGGAAATGACATAGCACAGAACGACTGGAAAGGATTACCTCGACATTGGCTTGAAGCCTGATCCCATGATTCTCTCCATGAAGAAAGGAGGTGGCCAGATTGCAGGGGGGACTATCATGTAAAAACACAAAGTTCCCATGGTCTATCACCTTCTCATCTCTCTCATTGCAGGGAATGGAAAATGCTTGGATCTGCTTTGGCAGTATCCCACCCCTGTCTCGCACCAGCACAAAAAGCAAAACAAAGTTCCTTCCTCCCTGCTGGAAGGGGATAAGATCATTCTGCATCATGCATAGCAATGCTGAAACACAGCCAGTCCTGCCTGAAGTGGGAAACCACAAGCAAGAGGCCAGTGCACTACATGAAAGTGGCAGTGGGGAAACCAGGGCTCCCTTTGAGTTCTCAACAAAGCTCACCAGACCCCAGCTCCTACCAAAGCCAACAGGAGGCATCCAGCTTAAACAACACACAAGTGCCCAGCGCTCAGATCCTACATGAGGATCAGAGTACCTGTGCCCAAAGCCTTGGGCTGACCCCCTAAACCCTCACTCAGAGCAACCCAGAGACCCTGGAGGCTCTGCCCTCTCCTTACACAGAGGCTCTCCATGAAGTGCAGAGCACAGAGCTGCTTTCCAGGGACTGCTACCCTACCTGTGTAGCCGGCGAGGGCAGCGGCAGGAATGACAGGCTTGTCCTTGTTCATGTCAGCCCGATCTCGAACATAGTCCTTGAAGGTGCCCTTGGGCTTGTGGTTGGGCAGGGCGGTGGGGTAGTCCTCCGAGTCAAAGCTATCATAGGAGGGGACGCGCTGCAGGCTCTGGAAGGAGGACTGGCTGCTCCAGGACTGCGTCAGGCGGTCGCAGCTGTCGTAGCTCTCTATGCTCTCAAAGGAGTCCTGGCCACCCAGTTTACCTGGTGAGAAGGAAGGCAATGTGAGAGGTGCCTGGCCAACACAGGGATGCTCTCAGTCAATGTGGTCATGAGAAGGATGCTTCGCTTGCCTGCAACAAGGCAGCCAGGCAAACATTGCTATCGGGCTGTGTCACACCATACAACTCAAATCCAAGCCCTGAAACAAGGATATCTTCATTACCTTTGTAATTCAAGAGCAGAGCCCTAGAAATCAGGCAGCAGAGCAAGGCAGGCAGAATTAGGGAAAAATACCCAGAGCCTTGACTCTCTACCAAAGACAGGTGCCTGGGGCCTACTGAAAACTGCCCTCTGTTTCCAAAAGGCAATGGCAGAGAAATAATCCACTTTAGACAGATATTCAGGGCCTAAACATGGGCCCTTCAAAGCCTCTTGCTGCAGAAAGATACAGGTCTGCAGTGATTGCCATATTATAACTGCCAGTCCTATGTAAGCACTGCTCAGGCTTATTAAGGGCACTGGACACCCGGCTTCTTTGCTTTTCATGTTTCCTACAAAACTCTACAGCAGCCTTTTATTGCCATATGTTACAATCGACTTCCACCCCCAAATCCCCATACAGCAGCGATTTGATGGAGGAAGGGAGCAAAAGTCTGAGAGCTCAAACAGCTATTTTTCCAGTTCTGGTAAGGTGAGCACAGCTGGGTTGTATCAAGACTGCTCTCCAGGGTATTTTTAGTAAAGACCAGAACTTGAGAGGCCAGATCCTCAGCAGCACCATGCTGATTTACACCCACTAGGAACGGCACAAGTATACCCTGTGTACTTAAAGCAGTGAGCTAAAAAAGGATACAAAGAACAAACTGAAATTGCTCTCTCTGATCTCCCTCACGCTGCCGATTGCTCAACATCTTTACTGACAAACTGAGAGCATAACAGGATCATTCAAGTTCACTAACTTCCCAAACCGGGCTAAAAACAGCTGCTGGGATTGTGCAAGAACTCCTGGAGAAATTTCCATTGGCAGAGCTACCCGCAGCTTGGGCCCAGATAGTAAATCACAGGGGAACGGGATCGTGGAAGGACGCTGGCACGCTCCCGCAGATCTTTGTTGTGTTGTAGTTCGAAGAGCACTTGCTGCAAAAAGACACAACTACCGTGGGTGTGGAGATATGCCAAAAAGGCAGCTCTGCCCTGACTGCTGGCCTCAGCAACAGGCATCTCCCTCTTCATCCCACAGAGATGCTCCATCTTCAAGCAAATGAGCTGGTCTTACAAGCTGGGATTTCCAGTTTAGACCCAGCTTCTCCTTCACATGACTTCATGAGACTCAGTGCAGCCTGACATCCATCATTCCCTCTTGGATACCTTGTTAGTTACTGCTAGAGAGTCCAAGTTACAAAATGATTCTCCTGGCGATATCCACACTTCAAATTCTTTTTTTTTGTTGTTTGCTTGTTTTTTGTTTTTTGAGAACTTACAAAATGCTCTTCAACCAATTCCTGAATCCTGGGAGGGGAAAATATCACAGTTCTGTGCAAGTTCCTTCATTGGTGTAACCACTTCTCTGGGAAATACCAAGGCACAAGCTCTTCTAGATAAAGAATTAGCAATCTGCCAGATGAACAGCTTCAGCATTAGAGCCATGACTTGTGTCATTTCATTGAAAATTCACCCAAATTTGACCTAGCTGTGAGCCTTTGCAAACCATGCCTTGCACCTACTCAGGAGAAATTTGTTAAGGAGTTTGACAGCCCTGTTTTCCAACCAGACACCTTCACTGATAAGGCAGACAGAAAAACCTCTCTTGGAACCACAAAATTAACTTCTAATGCCCCCACAAAGCAAGGCAAAGTGCAACTGTCTGGAAAACCTTCACCCTAATGTCTCTCTTCCTTAAGTGCTTGACTTCACGAATGATTAACCTTATAATAGAGTGGGAGGTGGAAATGTCTGTAAATATAAATAAGCTGGACTCTGGTTTACGTTAAAGCTTCCTTATAGCACTCTGGGAGGATTTATGCCACCCGAAGGCCATTCTACATTGCTTACATGTAGTGCCAGTGTGAGCATACCCACGATGTGCTGCACTTCTTCGACAGCAATCAGTAGCATTAGCTAATGCCAGGGCCTTTGGACCCCAGTGCCGGGTGAAGGGCTCCTTCTTCACTCCCTGGAGCCTTTTTAGGCTTTTTGTAGGTACACACTCAAAATACAATTGCAAAAGCATCCCCGACTCATTGCATTTCAATGAGAATTCATAGGAAATCACCTGTGTTAAGGAAAAGTCCAAGAAGAGTGAAAGACACAGATGAAGGAATGATAGAAAAGGGTTGGCTTCAATGGGACAGATCACCAGTTCAAGCAAATAGCCATCAAAATCAATGGAGGTAATGGCAAAGAGTTTGGATCTTCGAGTGTAAAAACTTCCAGAGCTGTAGACAGTAATTCCTAATGAGAACTTGTAAAGGATTTATCGGTTGGGTTTTTTTTGCCTGATTTTCTAGGAAAGTGAGATTTCTACAACCACAGAGCAGTCTGTCCTCCCTAATAACCAAAAAGCATATTTCAGCTTCACTCAAGTTCGACATCAAAGTGCAGGGCAAGAAATGCCACATTTTTACAGATGCAAAAGCAAGCAGCGGAGTGGAGACGAGAAAGACCTTCTTGTTTTCCCCAGAAAGAAAGGCAGGAAAGGTTCAAAGCCTCCAGAGAAACTCTAGGGGAATTCAACCCCAGAAATGACACATGTTGGGAAACAGCTTCATTACTGGTATCGCACGGCTCCCTGTTGGCTTTGGTCTCCTGCAGAAGGGAAGGCAGCACTCATGTTCATGTAAGCAGAGACAGCAAGAACTCAAGCAAACCATGAGAGATGCCCAACCATACCTCGACTGGCACGTCCCATGCACATGTTGTCCGGCGTCACCACCTCCTGTTTGATCGTGAAGTAATCTGTCTGCAGGGAGTCCGTCTGGACGGGGTCACGCAGGATGACTGAGGGATAGTCGTTCTCATACTTGAGGGACAGAAGCTCTTCCGAGCTGATGGGATGGAGGGTCTGGTAGGACTCTGTGATGAAGCTGGGCTCGGAGAACTCGGAGGGAGGCACGCACTGTGCGTGTTCAATGCCATAACCTGGCGGCAGGATGAGAGGCTCAGAAAGCAAAGCAAGCAATCCTTATATGATGCAGAGACACCTGTAGGAGGTGGCCCTTCTATGCCTGGAAGCACAGTAATGATAACAATAACTGGGACTTACTAATGAAGTAGTCTGAAGTGTAGCGGGATTCTGGATACGCTGCATTCACTCCATTTGCTGGGTACGGTTTTGCCTCTTCTGCAAAGAGAAAAGGAAGCAGCTGTCACATGCCCATAGACACATCATGCTTTGCAAAGCATGCTGTAACACACAGAGGTCTAAGCGTCCTAAAGGTCTCCTGCCTGGGTTAAATCGGGCCGTTCAAAGGAAATGTGCAGTTAAGTGCTGATATATCACTGAAACACATGCTTGATACATTCAGGCTCCTTTGGGAACTGTTGCTGCAGACGCACAAATTTAAACAAAACAAACTAACAGTTCTCTCTATCCACGGCTCCAGGTGGTTCTACAATGCTTGTTACATAATTTCCTTGCATCCTTTATTTCATCAGTTTCTTTCTTTACAAAATTGCTTCACTTGGTTACACGTATGGTTTTATGAAAAAAGACCACCGTTCAAGGACAGCTGTTGTCCTGGAAAACTCTCTATTTTTAGGCCAGGTAGATGTAAGTCAGTGGGTAATGCAGACCAAAACCAGCCCCTATGATATTAAATTAATGCTACCTTCCTGTGTACACAGCACCTTTCACCTTACGCCTGATAAAGGCAGAGGATCCCAACTCAAAGCTTTGCCATCCTCTCCTTTAACCAGCCCTAACACACACTGCTCAGACTACGTATGGGCAACACCACAAATGTTGACCTTTCTATAGGCGTGGTTCACTGGGAACAAGCAAGCATCACATCAAAGCAGACTGCCCATTTTCCACTGCTCTTTCTGAGCACTTTCCTGCTCCCAGACTCAGCACTGACTTTGCTTTCCCACCTAAAAGCCACACTGCTCCTCCTGACCATTTTTTCCAATAACACCTTACTCGTTCCAGTATGGCACGCGGGCAGAGATAGCAGCATGGGAGATTTTTTTTTTTCTTTGCAGAGGGTAACAAAAATAAAATGCACTAACATCTCTGGGTTATATTTATTTCTGCTGAGGCTATAAAGAAGCAAACTGAAGATAATGCACGTTCGTTTGCAAGGAGCCTAATTTTGGCCCTCTCTCCTGGGGATTGCAGGGGTGGAAAATATCTTCCAACAAAAGGAGGTTTTGTGCAAACAGAGAGACCTAATGAGAAATGCTCTTTTTCTCCCCATGGAGTCTGCCAAGGGGCAGGGAGGGTGACCACAGGGAAAGAGAGCAACCTTCAGCTATGCTTACAGTCAAGCAGAGTGCACTGCTGACTGCTGGTAACTGAAGAAGCTATTTTAGGAAGAAATTTGGAAAAATAAGCCCGAAAATACCCAAATCCATGCAGGGAAAAGTCGCCCATCTGCTGCCATTTTTAAACCCTGAGCAGGCTGTGGTCCGTGAGTCACTCCCTCGGAAAGAGCTCACAAGGGGAGGAGTGTTAGCAGGAGGACAGCAGGGTCACAGTCTGTCCCAGCATGACCCCACTCCAGCAGTCACACCACCACAGGTAATGCCAGGCACGTCAGGGTTAGCCACCACCCTCAGCATCACCAGATCTGGGTGATGATGGCAGGTGACCAGGTGATGGGTGCCAGAAGTGGGGATTGGCGAGAGGACCCTGTGGGCTCACCCATAGCGTGGCTCTATAGGTGAACCTATGGGAATGGTGATCTTCACCTTCATGCTTCACATCTTCAGCTGCAAAGCGGAGAGAAACATCTCACACAGGGAGAGATGTTGTACAACACCAGCACAACAGAACCTGGATTTGACTGGGGCCTGAAGATATGAGACCAGTAAGATGAGTCTCATGACTTCCAGGGAAGAGGAATTAGTCCTTGGAGTGAAGCTGGTTATTTCTTGGAAGATCTCCTCAGTTACTCTCCAAATACTTCACACATATTGCCCCTCTGGGAGATGTGTAAAGAACCCACCATCCAAGCTATGGCTCAGACGACTTAAACAAGAAGTGATGAAGTCACTAACAAAGCTGAACACAGAATGGGGATTTCTTGGTTCCCAGAGCTACGTTAGTGGTGTTGAGACAAATAAACTGTGTTTTATTTTTTTCCATCCTCTTGGAAGAAAATCTGCAGTAGGTACAAAAGATTTCCAGCTTCTTTGTAAAAGCCGTTATCTATCTCACACCTTTTGCATCCTCCTGACCGTGGCATCCAAACATCCATCTGTCAGTGCTGCAGGGAAACTGGAGCCCTACTTGACAGCGAGCAACACAGCACCAAGTTCCTCACTGTACTTTAGGGAACTTGCAAGAAGAGCAGAGCTGGGACCAAACCCAGCCCAGTGCCTCAGCCAGAAGCTGCAGCACATTGCATCCCTCTCCAGTGGGTTGCAGGAAGGCTGAGCTGTGTTACAAGCCATGGCTTAGAGCAAATAGAAATAGGATTGACCACAACATTTTGCTTTGTTTGGTTAAACTGCATGCTGTTGATATAACCACTCATTAAAAATCATGCAAAACGAGAAGAACTGAACAGATACAGAGTCAAACAAAGAGCAGAAAAACAGCCCGTCATACCCTGACCCTGGGAAGAGCCATGTTTACCTTCTGCAAACCACAGGTAGCAGTAAAATTAGTAATCAGCAATTAACATCCATTTGTCAATGGTTTCCTGGAAGGCATAACTTTGTTCCCCCTCCCCTTCCTGCCACCAGCTCAGGCCTACGTACAGGCACGCAGGGTCAGCTCAGCAGCACTGGGGGTGTTCCAGGAGAGCACGTAGCTCTGCACAGAAATGAGCTACAGGAGATCTTCTATTAAGGATCTTAAGATTTCACTCTTCAGGAACCATCCGAGCTGGAAAATGCTGCACACCATCAAAATTAACATCCAAAATCAACATGTGACACCCCCCCACTCCTTGCGAATAAACCAAAATTAATTCCTTTAAATGCGTGTATGCAGGGACAGGCAGATATGATTTCCACCATTCCCTCCTGTGTGGGATACGACCACACTTAACTAAACGCCATTACACTCATTAGACAAGAAACAAAAGCCGCTTCCAATTGCAACTGGGAAATCAGTGTGGGATTTTGGTGATGTTGTTGTACCTTGCTGCACCGGAGGAAGTAGTAAAATTCACAGTGGGAGCTAAATGAACTGAGGAAGAATGCTTTGGAAAATCCCACCGCCATTTCCAGGCAGGCAGAGCGTCCCTGCATGAACAGGGTGTTCCCTTCCTCTTTCAACAAGCGCCAGGATTTGCATTGCCCACTACTGGCTGCGATGCCCATTTGAAATCTTACGGGAAAGCTGAGCTTTCAAAGCTGCTTTGACTGGGACTGCAGCCCAAGCACGACGTTGTACTCATTGGAAAAGCCCATAAGCAGAGGAACCAGGAGCACACAAACTATCCCCCTTGGAGACCCCAGGACTCACCTTTCTGCAAGATCTCCAGGTGTTCCCAAAGGATATCTCCCACAAAGTCGGGCGCTAGCTCCAGGAAGCACTCCTTGCCCAGGGCACAGAGGGCAGCTCCGTTCATGCAGAACTTCTGGAAATCCACTCCCTTCAGGCTGAACTCATTCACTGCCCACATCACCCAGTCCCGCACATGCGTCTCTGTCCACTGCTGGGGATCTGCATCAAGGGGTAGCAGAAAAGATCAGTCAATGAGCAACTAACAAGGGGTCGTAGAAGAGATCTGTTAATGAGCAACCACAAGCCTTTTCCCCAGGAAAACAGGACACATCTACATCTATCCCAGTGGATAAGCACCTGCACAGCATCATTCTCTAGAGACTGACAATCTCTTGGTGAAAAGGCAATACGTGGTGGGGGAATACTACACGCAGAGTAAGTTTGAATCAGCCATGTTTGCAGACATATTTCATAGCAGGAGTGAGCTTTGGAACTTATAAAAATCCTGGCAGTTCTCTGACCCCTTCTCCCACACACTCCTTCATCTTGTTGCTTTCCCCTCGTTATCAGCCTCTTGTAAAGCATCCCAGCTGCTTCCCTGTACAGTGGATGTGATTTGCAAACACAAGTCTCGTAGTCTCAACAAAGCTGCAGAGCAGTCTGGCAGTAGAGGTTATCTCACTTTGTTAGCAGGACAGACAGGCGCAATCTGTTGGGTGGGTGCAGTCTGCAAGTGGTACTGAAAGGTTCTGCCTGTGTGTCTGGATTCTTCCAGCTTTAACTGCCAAGAAACAAGGCAGTACCACAGGATGGGCACCACGTGTTGCTGTGGCATCATGGTGGGGGATTTGTCCTCTGTGCCCACCACAGCTGTGCTGCCTTCTCTTACCTTTGGGGATTCCCAGCCGCTGCTGCTCCTTTGCGAAGCCACTGAAGGTGGCTTTCAGTGCCTGAGACATCATTTCCTTGCTGCTGGGGGTTAACAAAGGCACATCTGCACATTCCATATCTGAAAGCATCAGAAGAGAAAAACAATCATAAGGGCTGGGAAAGACAACAGAATGGTTTGCACAGTATTGAATTGTCAGAAAACAAGCAAACTGTTCCTTTGCTTCTTTTGAAATTTTTCACACTCCAAGTCTCTAGCCCTAAACCTAAACCTGCAGGTCCACAAGCAGACCAGCACACAAGCCATGTCTGACAAGCTTGGCTACATGGTGCTTGTAGTCTCCCTGTGAGCCAGTCCTGAATGTGCTGTTGGAAATTTGATGGTGATATCAGACACCATCACAGATAACAGCTCACTCAGCATCACCATCATCCCAGCTTCTGAAGCCTGTGAGATAGCTGGGTCACGAGTCCTATACAAGACTGAACAAGAAAGCATGAAGGAAAGCATCTCTGAATGCCTGCCTCAGTGCCGGGCATCCTGGCCCAAAGCAATAGGAAAAGTCATTTTGAAGAATTGCAATCAATCCCAGAAAAAGGAGGGCCACAGCAGGATGAGGCAGGACGGAGAACCAGCAGAAAAGCCATTCAAGGATGGGAGGGAAAACAAAGAGCTGGAAAATCCCACATGAGCACAGAGTTACATCATGCAAAGCCCAGGCGCTCCGTGAGTCACCGAACAATGCACAGCCGCCCCATGGGATGCATGGGGCCAGGCCAAGGGCCTTGGAGCCAGTCCTGATGAGAAGCAAAGGTCTGCCTTCCTTTCTTCCCTTTCGCTAATTTATTTGGAAGGAGGTGGTAATTTGTAGCCAAACAGTTCCATAAACAAAAGCAATCGTTTGAAAAAAAAACCTCAATCTGAATAAAGGTTTTGGCTCTTTTTCACATACTTGAAGCATTCCTGAAAACCATCATTTGTGGTGAAGGAAAGCCTCAAATATTCACCATCTCCAACAACTGAACTTTGTCAGTCTTGTTGTAAATCCTCTGCCGGAGGCCGGCTTCACTCTGCAGCCTATCAGGAATTTTTCAATGAAAACTGTTCTCAGTGGAAAAATGACAATGAGCGCAAATTTTTGGTGTTTTCATCACAGCCGGATGTGAATCTCAAAAGCCCTCAAAAGTGCTCTCCGTGCTGTGCAATGGCACCTTGGCTCACTATCATTCTGCATTAAGCTCTGATTTAATGCTCCACATATCCTCAAAGTGCTCCTCTCTCAAGGATCGCTGAGAGCATCCCGACTGCAGCCCAGACCAGAGCTGCTCTCCTGCCTTCATCTTTGCACCGCTTCTCAACCCCAAGCAGACGTGCAAAGCCATCCATGTGCCCAGCTCCCAGCTCACTGCTCCAAACTCCCATTCCTTTTGTCCAGGTAGCCCTGCTCAGCCCCAGCGCCCCATTCCTCCCCCAGCCCTGCTGTAGAAATCAAGACCTGCCTGCCACACTGCAACCGTCAGGACCTTCAAAAGCAAATAATAACAATCAAAGGCTATTTGGCAAATTACACTTCATTATTTACTGGATTTAGCTGAGGAGGGCACAGAAAAACGAGCAGGCACCCTGCATATCTCTGTTCTCCATCTGCTGGCTTTGAGATAATGCTGGGAGAAAGTGGTTTGGTGCCCTTTTCCCTTCATCCTCATGTTACACGTTAATGCTCTGCTGGCTGTGCTCTGTGGTTATGGGGACCACCCATGGATCTGCTCCCTCACGGCCGCTTCAACAGCAGAGCGCTGCTCCTCGGCCATGGGAAGCTGAGTCAGAGGCAAGCTCTGAAAACGTTTCCAACCCCATTTTGCACTGAATCACTTGCAAAAACCTGCACATAGATGACCTCCTTAGGCAAGCCACAAGCCAGGCTTCTGCTAGTGCTAAATTTTTCCTGCTGCCATGCAAAGGAGCATCTGTCACTGATGGGTCCATGCATTTGGGTTTGCACAGAGCCAGTGAAGCAGTTTTTCAGTAGCACTGGATAGGGTTTCAGTTCCATAAGGTGAGCACCAAAGCCAAACCAAAGCACACATCTCGAGGTTTCTCCTTTAAAACAAGATGCGTTGGGAAAATTCAGAATCGAAACCTTTTTCTCTTGTTAAACCATAGCTACTGCTTAAAACTTCTTCAAAACACAAGGCAGCCTCAAAGCCCCACACCTGCAAACATCTGCAAAGCCTAATTTTAGTCAGCAGCATCCCGCCTCTATAGAAGAGCTCGCGTGTGCAGCATTAAATGGGTTGGTGAAGCTGTGCATACGTTTGTGGACGAGTCCCGGCTGCGTGATCCGGGGTAGAATGGGAGGGGGGACAGTTTGTACTTCAATTCTGGCTTTGAGAGATACTAAATGCACTGAAAGGTCACTCTCTTTGTTAATTCCTGGGAGCATGATGGGCTTTACCTGCCCTCTGATGTGGCAGTGCTTTTCTGCAGGACCCTTCAGGAGGACACAGCCATGGTTCTGTCCCCATGCGCAGCACACACCGCCTGCAGCTCTGGGTGGGCAGAGGTCAGAGCAGGGCAGCATTTGGGTAACAAAAGCAGGCCGGGCTTCACTCCCCTGGTTTCAACTTTCACTGTTATCTGAAACCCCTCTCCAAGATTTTAATCAAATCTTACACAAATAAAAAGTCCCCTTTGTGAACCTCCTGCTGCCCGCAAAAGCACATGCAAAAGCATGCACGCGTGCACACAGGAGGGCTCAGAATGCATCAAACCCAGCACCAAACTCAGCTGCTGTACCCCAGCTTCTTTGGGCAATTTCTTATTCAAACCAAAAAACCAAGCGTGGACTTGCACTGCAGGCTGGGGTTGCTGGATGGGTTTTGCAACACCCATTAAAGCCTCATTGACACAGCTTGCACGTGCAGAGTGCTGCCAAGATGCCACATCTCCTGCTGCTGCCGCTGCACTGACAGTGAGCGGCATTTGATTTTCCTCCTGGGACACCAGGCAGGGTACGATGTTTTGGTTTTTAAATGCTAACAGGAGTTGCAGGCGCTCTGGAAAATTATGTCACAACATCTCCAGCATCTGTAGAGCAGAGATAAGCAATTTTCCTTACACGGTAGGAAGGCAGAGGGATGTTGATGCAGGAGGCTGCAGCTTTGCAAAGCAAAGAGAGGTCTGGGGGCTCAGCTTGAGATCCTGAAGGCTTCCCAAAACCAGACTTTGTTTTTCCTCCTTTAGATCCCTGGGGACCAGATGGACATAAGGATGGCAATGATCCTGCCATAGCCAACATCCAGCATCACATCCCTATATGGCTTTTAAGCTTAAGAGGATGCACACCAAAGCCACCATCCCAGGTAACTGGTGATGGGAGATAGTGCCCTGAAGTTGTGCCAGGGGAGGTTCAGGTTGGATATTAGGAACAATTTCCTCTCTGAAAGAGCAGTGCTGCACCACATGGCTGCACAGGCAGTGGGAGTCACCATCCCTGGTGTCCCAGAGCAATGGGATGTGAAGTGGGCATGGTGGGGTGGGCTGGGGACCTCCAATGTCCTTACCAACCTTTATCACTCTATGATGGCACTGCAGTAAGTAGGTGCTGGACAAACAGACACAGAGACTGTGAGAAACGCACAGAGAGGCCAACATGACCAAGTTCATCTCCCAGACAAATTCGCGTTCTGCTCTCCACAGGCTCCACATGTATAAACTACTTCTACGCATCTGATCTTTTTAAAGCACTACGATTTACAAACTTTAGGGATTTTGACCTTAAAATGCAAGTGACTCTGCTGCATGTCAAAACATTAGCATCTGATTGCATAAGCAAAATAAATGGCAGTCAAGAAAAAAAGCTGGAGGACAGGAGCAAAGTCATTTTTCTCCCTAATTTCCACTTGGAGTCAATGCCCCCTTTAAACTCCCCTCAGCCACTCACTTTGTTTCCCATCAAAAGCCTCAGTGTGTCCTTGTTTGGTCCCCACTGTTTTACACAGTAGCCTGCATGCAGATGGATGCCCAGCGGGTCAGAGCAGGGCCAGCTGACCCCACAGCCCCTCCTGCCCCTGCTCTGCTGGATGCACACCGGGTCAGGAACCCAGCACACCATTCTCAAAGGTGAAAGCCCTCCTAGGACAGGGATTAGTCCTATGCTGTGCTGACATCACAAGGATGTAGGACACACTGACTGCTTGAAGGAGGCATGGGATATGTTCTGGAAAAGGTGCAAATTGGCATGGAGTCAAGTCAAGAAAACAATCACTCCAGGACCATGCATCCAACAGCTGCATGAATTTGTGCCCAAATATCTCAGAAGAGCTCAGTCCTTGAGCCATAGCTGGCTGAGATGCTCCTATGAGCACCTGTGCAGGGCTCTGCTGGAGGACAATTCAGCCAGGTCACAGCTAGGAGGCTGTGTCCCCTGGGACCATGCTCACCGTGCCAGCTTCTGCCACTCCAGGGACATCCCAGTGCTGCCCCCATAGCCCTATTTTCCTGTGATGGAGCAAGAGGAGTTTCTCAGAGATTTGGCAAGAGAGGCAAGGACTCATTTGCTCTCCTGCTTTCCCCTGCGCCACCAAGCTGCTCTACCCCACAGGGAGCCCACCATCACCTCATCACATGGCACACAGACTTCCACCCCAGCCTTCCCCAGGAGCAAAGCAGGGCAGGGCTAGCAATGGGGAGGCTGAAAGACAATTCCCAAAGTCTCCCAGCTGGCAGGGTTCAGCTGAGAAATCTTTCTCAGGAAGGGAGGAGGCTGCAGAGAGGGGGGCCGGGAGCTGAGACCCTTCCCACGCTCCCCAATGAGGCATGAGGCAGAGGCACCATCTCCCACATCTCCCATTTCAGGTCCCTTTCCCTTAGGGCAGATTTGCCTTTCCCAGATGCCCCACACAGCATCGGGGCAGGATCTCCTGGGCAAATAACCCCAACTGAGCCCCACTTATTTAGGCAGGATTAGGCAAAAATTTGTCTGCACTTTTGAACTGTTTTCACAAGCACAGCCTCTCACTCCCACGCAGGAAGCAGGAGCAGAGCCGGCCTGTTCCAATTAGGGCTCCTCAAACCAAAAGGACAGCGAAACTCAGGGGAGAAAAGGGGAATAGAGGGAA